GGGATGTATTTATAAATACATTATTACAGAAAACTTCAGAGTGCTGACATTAATCCTGCTGGGGAGGGGGGGCAAGGGAGTCCATAGGCTCCAGGTTAGGCTCTCCTGCCCTTGTGCCAGGAATAGGGTGAGAAACCAAAAAGTAGGTTATTAAGGGTGAGAATAAAGGGTGTGAGTCAGCTCCGAGGGATTGCGGCTCTTCACTGTTGTTGACCTGGGATTTGTTTAGATGTTTAAGTGTAAATGTGTGACTTTAATATTGTAACATACAATAATTTTGATGGTGACCACATCTGATGTTAGAACTTCAAATAGAGACATTGAAAAAAATAATTATTTTTAGATGTTCTCAAAATAAATCATAATGTTTTCAGATTGTAAAGGAAAGAAGACTGAGCCCGTGATGTTGAGACCTACACCTGACAGCTCTTGCTCTGTGCTCAGCAGTAGAGTAGTGAAGTCCCGTTGGCTGGGGTGCTTGTTTCTGGTCTTGTCCTCTTTACTTTTGCATGAGCCTTCCACTCGACCAGTGTTTCCCAAACTTTATTCATTAAACCATCTTCATGATTTGCCTTCCTGCACATTTCCTGGCTATTCTTTAAATCAGCTCACTTTTTAACACTTAAATTTATGCAGATAATTACTATGTGAAATATGGGGTTGATGTGCTAATTATTTTCTATTTACCACTAAAAAGAACATGTACAGATTGGGTTTGTCCCAGCTAAAATCATCTTTTATCTTTCTAGAGGGCATCAAGTCCAATTTGGGAAACACTCCCCTTTGTGCTGGAATTTAAAGCTCTGACCTTGAACCAGAGAATGCTCTGTAGAAGCTCAAGCTCCTTGTACTTGGAACTATTAGTGGAGAGGAAGGGTCACAGGATGGGTGGGTGCTGCCTGCTGAAATACTCCTTGCTTGGACAAATTCATATTCTGAGTATGGAGATATTTGCTGCGTGCATGACAAAGCTTGGAATCCTGGCTTTGCAGTGGTTGGTTTGGTTTTTTTAATCTGGACACACGCGTGCACAATGTATGTGTGTATCTCCAAATTTCATAAGTTTATTTTCTTTCACAGGTTTGATCTTGCTCTTCTACCTAGTCTTTTATGGGTTCCTGGCTGCACTCTTCACATTCACAATGTGGGTTATGCTTCAGACTCTGAACGATGAGGTTCCAAAGTACCGAGACCAGATTCCTAGTCCAGGTAATGAACTTGCAGTCATGGCTTTTATCGCTATCATAAATGTTTTACACAGCTGACAAAAGGTAGTTCAACCTTGGCTTTAGGTAATGCGAAAGTTTTGATTTTTGTATGTTGTTTAATATTTACACACTGATACAAAGACCTTTAATATTTACCTACTGATACCAAGACCTTTAATATTGACACTGATACAAAGACCTGGGCTAATAAAGATTACATCCTTTGCCAGCAGTAAGCAGAAATTAATATTGAGAATTATAGTGAAGCCAAATTTGACCAGTATAGTTATAGGTATGAATGGCTTTTATGAATATGTGTAGCAGTTTCACTTTGTCCTGAGTTAATTTACTTATAAAGTATATATTTTGGCTCTAGCTCAGATTAGAGCCGTGGTCTTGTGAAATATGTGCTTCATGGTTTTAATGCTTACTATGGAAATGGTAAAAAATATTAATTATACATCAATAGAGAATAAAATGAATATACTCTTAATGTGTTTAATTCTACTTTATTAATAACTTAAGGGAGGCAGAATCTCCAGGATACTTTAGTACAGAAAAAGTCTTACCTGAAACATTGTTTAAATCATGTTGTCTCCTGGGTGTGTTCATTTGTTTATTTTAAACCATCTTTTTTTTTTTTAAATTTTTTAGAGAGAGAGGAAGGGGGAAAAAGAGAGAAACATCAGTGTGTGAGAGAGAAACATTGATCTGCTGTCTCCTGCACATCCCCCACTGGGGATTGAGCCCGAAACCCTGCCGTGTGCCCTGACTGGAATCAAACCAGCAACCTTTTGGTGCACAGAACGCCACCGCAAGCGTTGGTTGATTCTTGTGTGTCCCTGACCAGGGATCAAACCCCCAACCTTGGTGTATCAGGACGACACTTTAACCAACTGAGCTACCCAGCTAGTGCTGAAACAGTCTTTGAATGCCAGCTCTGCCTTTTTTGGACATGTCCCTTGTCTTCAAGGTGTCAGCAATTTTTATAGAAGATAATAATATACCAGAACCCCAGTGTATCTTCCCCAAAATGTGTACAACTTGTGGAGACAATAGAGGTGGAGGAGTGGGATCTGGGTGACAGGCAGGCCAGGGAAGGTGGGGAGCTAGCAGGAGGTTTCTTTCTAGAGCTGTGGTTCTCCTCCAGCGGGGATTTGCCCTCCAGGGGCCATTGGGCAATGGTCTGGAGACATTTTTTGTTATCACACTGGAGCTGTGCCACTGAGTAGAGACCAGGTATGTTGCTAAATAAACATCCTACATTGCTCAGGACAACCCGCTGTAACAAAGAATTACCCAGTTCAATGTCAGTAGTGCCAAGATAGGAACCCTGATCTAAGTGCTTGCTCACTGCAGATTCTGAGCCATGTCAGCAGCCGAACACAACCAATTTCACCAACTATTTTTTCTTAGAACAATTTGTTTTAATGACTTTCCCTTTGTTTGCAGCTAGTATTTTTCTAAACTTCATAAATAACTTTTTTTTTTTTTTTTTTAATATATCTTTATTGATTTCAGAGAGAGGAAGGGAGAGGGAGAGATAAAAACATCAATGATGAGAGAGTCATTGATCGGCTGCAGCCCGCAACCTGGGCATGTGCCCTGATCGGGAATCGAACCCTAATCGCCTGGATCCTAGGTGGATGCTCAACCGCTGAGCCACGCCCGGCCGGGCTTAAGTACATAGTTTTAAACAATTCCTTAAACTTATTTACCAATTTTATTACGGTACTTAATGTATCATTACTGTAAATAAATAAATGTATATGCACACACATTGATATGTATATATAATATTAAATGAATATACATTAGTTTGTTAAACATGATTTTCTCTTTATAAAGGTATTTAGGGTAATTTTTGTTTTTCTTCTAAGTTTTTTGTTTTTTTAAACCATGACCATCATTTTTATGTGTTTGTATCCAGTAAAATAAATGCTAGCTTCAAGTTGCTGTGCATATTCGTATATATAACACAAACACATACTGCCTGTCCACATCCCTACAGACAGACACACACACTCATATCCCAGTGGTGTAAATTGGAAGGAGATACAAGTTATTGTAGTTCTCACATTCTGCTGATGTTCTTGGTTTCGGTAAGCTGAGATCTTTTATTTAGAGTTTACTGTGTCAAAAATGCAGCTGTAGTGCACTGTCCTGCTGTGGATTTTTTACTTAAGAATTTCAAATGGACTGTTAATAGCAGGAACTAGGGCTCCGAGAGCATTGCTAGGCAATCTCAGAAACAACTGGTATCAGAAATTCAGTTTAGAATTTCATACAAAGTTTTTGAATATTGAATTATTTTAAAAAATTCTCCAGTTATATGCAAGCTGCCTTAACTCTGTTGCGTTTTGCCTGCAGTATAATGTCTTTTTCCTGCTATAAAACTTTAAGAAAAACAAACTATCAGACAAACACAGATCCATCCTTTCATACATTGGATGGTCAGAGGTTTTATTTCTAATGTTGACCTAATAAACGTCCAAATCTATGGAGAATTTTAGTAAGAGTTTATTTGAGCCAAACTGTTAAACATTTCCAGGAAGCAAGATCTCAAATGCTCCCCAGAATGACAGTTTGCAGTTTAAGGGGGGAATATAAGGAAGATTACAGGAAAGGGAGGGAAAGCAAAGCTCCAGGGGTCGATTACAGGATAGTTAACAACATTACTAACAAAATTATTTGCTCTCTTGAGGGTAGTTACACTCTGGAGGGGTATAAAAAAGAGGCATTTGAAGGTGTGTTAGCTAGATGCACAGAAACAATGGACAGGGCTTGCTTAAGGCGAAGATTACTTTTTACCAGGGAAGTTGTAGGCCTGGCGCGGGACTACCCACCGTGACCTGCCCAGTTAGGAATTTATCATCAAATCACTCTGTGAGGTTCCTTTTGGCTATATTTTATTAGTGCCTCCTTTTTGTCTACACTACATTAAATTATTTATTTAAAAATCAGAAGTTACTGTTGATTTTGTAGTAATTTTGTTGTGAGTGAAGTGGTTAAGGAAAAAAATAGACATATGGGGTCGTCCAAATTCAGGTGATCTGCTATGTTGTTGTGGTAGGTGAGTGGGGAGTTTGATCGTGGGCTCATTTGTGCCTCATGTAGAATAGGTTTTCTCTGCCATTTAGAGACATTGTTTCATCATATATGGGTAGCAGTGGATCTAGTTTAACTCAAGAGCCATGCAGTTCAACACAGGCAAGTATGTAGAGGTTAAAAGAAACTGCATCTGGTTTAAAAAGAAATAGATGTCTATGGGCAGCAATTCTAATGAAAACTAAAACACTTGTATATTTTCAGATTCAGTGCTAGGCATATCATCTCTCATAACTTTGCTGTGGGGAATGTTTAGAGATGGTGAAAATTTTAGGATTGTTTTAAGCCTTTTTGCAAGGCTGAATTAATCTAGATCTGATGCTTTTTAAACGAGGAAAGCTTAAAGTTGGAAGCCTGATTATGTTGCTTACAGATAAATATGCTTACATTTTCTGTTAATAAACACATACAACATGTATATTCTAGACACATGAATATTGACTCCTGATATGAAATGATTGGTGGTTATACTCCAAATTCAGTAAGAGAAAACAACTTTTATAGGGCAGTGTTTATTATTAAAGGAAGAATACTTAACCACAGAGTTAAAATTGTATAGGCCTCTTTCACAAGTAAGGTAGGCCTTCTTTATGAATGTTTCCATATAGCTGTAATTTGAATGACAAAGGGGCTTAGATTTGATTTGCTAAAATTTTCCTCCACATTAATCACAAATTGGCAAAACCTAAAAATATTTTATAGAAAAATGAATATAGAAAGTACAAAGTAAAACTTGCATTTTTTTAAGGAACAGAGCAATTATAATTAACTGTAGCCAGTCAGATCTAGGGAAGTTTCTAATTGGTTTGCAGTGATTTTGAGGATTTGGAATTCTCTTCATTGTAGATGTCAACCTTCATAATCAGAAGTGGGAAATTCTTAATTTCAACCTACCTGTGAACACAAATACCCATGTAACTTACTGAGGTCTGTCTTAGGGGTAAGAGGAAAGAGAGAAGGAATTTACTACAGTTAATTTCCCCCTTTCTCTTTTATATCTTTATAGGACTTATGGTTTTTCCTAAACCAGTGTCGGCGTTAGAGTATTCATTCAGTATGTCTGAACCAGAGTCCTATAAAGGGTACATTGAAGACCTTAAGAACTTTCTGAAGCGTAAGTGTGTTTTCTTAGAGTAAGGTAAAAGTTTTTAGTTATTACGGAAACTAGTACCAAATTATGATTACATTGGGAACATCATTCTTAGAGGACTTGCAAGTAGATTTTATGATTAGTCATGATATTCTAATATTCTAACCTATGGAAAGACGGCTCTAAGCAGTTACTTTTTTTTTTTTTTTTTTTTTTCCTATAAGAAGTGCAT